TTCGATTGTGTGGATCGTGACAAGCTATGGACAATATTGCGACGTATGAGTATTCTTAATTGTGCTCATGAGGAACCATCAACACTCATGGAAGCAGCAGCCAAGCTGGGTTCTATGAAGAAAAACGTGGCATCAGGATTTGAGGAAGACTCATTAACAATATGCGGTATGTAGATGATCCAACCATGCTTGCTGAAAGTGAAGAGGACTTAAACCATTTACTGATGAAGATCAAAGAGCACAGCCTTCGGTATGGATTGCATCTCAACGTAAAGAATACAAAAATCCTCACCACCAGACCAATAAACAACATTCTTATCAATGGAGAAAAGATTGAAATTGTCAAGGATGCCATTCTTCTTGGATCAACTATCAACACTCACAGAAGCAGTAGTCAAGAAATCAAACGGCGTATTGCATTGGGCAAATCTGCTGCACAAGTCCTTTTTAAAGTGTTGAAGAGCAAAGATGTCAGCTTGAGGACTAAGGTGTGCCTGACCCAAGCCAAGGTATATTCAAAAACCTCATATGCATGTGAAAGCTGGACAGTGAATAAGGAAGACCGAAGAAGAATTTATGCCTTTGAGTTATGGTGTTGGAGGAGAATATTGAAAGTACCATGAGCTTTCAAAAGAACCAATAGATCTGTTTTGGCAGAAGTGCATCCAGAGTGCTCCTTAATGGCCAAGATGGCCAAACTTAGTCTCTCATACTTTGGACATATTGTCTGGAGGGAACAGTCGCTGGAGAAGGATACCATGTTTGGTAAAGTGGAGGGTCAGAGAAAAGAAGAAGACCTCCAACGAGATGGATTGGCCAAGTGGCAGCATGGATGGACTCAAGCGTGGCAACAGTAGTGAGGTTGGCCTAGGACTGGGCAGTATTTCGTTCTGCTGTGCATAGGGTTGTTATGGGTGGGTACCGACTTGATGGCACCTAACAACAACAACAACATATTTGGGTTTTGTGGTATGTCAATGAGGCTGAATTCAATATAGTGAGAAATGTCATTAATTCTGGCCATGTCTTCTTTCTGTACTCTCTTGTTTATATAATTCCTTGTGACCTCTCTCATGCTGAATGGATTGCAGTGGTACAGGTAATAAAGTTTAAATCAGGTAGAATTCTACCTTTTTGGTGTGTGAAGAAAGAGTATAAGCTTGGTTTGTTTTGTGATGACTTTAATCAATGTTATTTTCCACATATCAAAACTAAACATCAAATGCCCAAATCAGTAGCTCTGAATAAAAGAAGAGACTTGAGACAGGCAACACAGTTTGTAATTCTTTGTTGCTGGTGAAAATGGCTTGTGATCTTCAAGGCTGGAGGTTCAAATCTGCTCAGCAGTGTCTCCAAAGAAAGACTTGATGTGATTGGTCTCCATAAAGGTTGATGTTTTTATTAAGTTCTGTCAAGTCAGATCCGATCAATAGCCATTCTATATAGGGTTTCTGAGTAGTGGCTGGTGGATTTGAACCAGCAACCTTGCAGTTAGCAGTATAGTTCTTTTCCTACAGTGCCACATCAGAATTCTAGCCAAAAAAATCCTATAGAGCTCAGTTCTAATCTGTAACACATGGGGCAGCCATGAGTCAGAATGGATTTGACAGCAAAGGGTTTTTTTGTTGTTTACAGTATTGAAACATGAATTGCTGTCTCGTACCAAGGAAGAGCAGCTGGCATAATAACTCTTCCTGAGTCAATCCTCTGAGCAACACTTGCTTGCCTTGGTGGTTTACTGTTTCCAACATTTTTTGATTCTCCTATCAGTTGAGGATGTGTTTGTTGTTATTGCTAAGTGTCATCGGTGAGTCAGATCTGACCTATAGCGACCCTATACAGGGTTTCCAAGGAGCGACTGGTGAGCTTGAACCTCTGACTTTGCAGTTCAAATGGCTTTGCAGTTTGGCACATTAACCCACAGTGCCATATCAGGACTCTGAGGATGTGTTTAGATGCCAGTAATTTTAGTATTAGCCTCAGCTCAATTTGTTTATAAAAGAAAACGTATTAAAGAAAACACAGAAGGTATTCCGGGTCCTATATTTTTATTCATTCATTCAACAAATAATTATTGATTGTTTATATGTCCCAGATACTAGGGATATAGTACAGTATATCCCTTTCTCATCCAACTTCTGGATCTGACCCTGTTTTGCTTTGCTTTTAAGAGGGAGAGTGGAAGTTTAGGGTCTTTGTTGTACTAGATAGGATGTTTGAGTTAGGAGGAGGAAAGGAGCTCAAGAATAATTGCTACTTTATGGCAGAACAAAAGAAATGCATTTAAACAGCTAGGTTCTCTGATCCCACCTACTGAGCATACGTAGGATTTAATAGGGACTTTTGTTTCTGAGAGACAATTGCTTCAACCAGACAGCACTTGCACAACATTACCCAATGCATAAAATCTGTTGTGTCCAGATTAAGAACATTGTTTTTTTGCATTTGATTTTTGAAGACACGGATATAAACTGCATTAAACAGAAAACTGATGTGTATTCATTGGGCAATACTGGGATTTTACCTGGATTAAAAGACTTAAAGTAATATGTGTGGGATAGGAAAGAACATGCTTAGAAAATAGTACTTGGATTCAGTGGCCATTTTAGTCTTCTTACTTGAGTTCACAGTAGCGTTTGTCACTTACTCTTCTTACTCTTCTTCCCTTCCCTTCCAGGTTCTCCTCCTGTCTCCCTGGTCCTTTCTTCTGTCTTTTTTTCTTCTTTGATTTCCCCCCATTTCTCAACCTCTGATGGTGTCCTGGTTTGGTGCTGTGGGTTAATGCACCAGACTGTAATGCTATTTGAACTGCGAGGTCAGGAGATCAAGCTCACTAATTGCTCCTTGGAAACCCTATATATGGTCGCTATGGTTCGGAAATGCCTTGATGGCACTTAACAACAACAACTATATTTTTCAGATGTTCAAAAACAATTCACTGGCTGAAAATTAAACTTGTGGCGTTTTTGGGATCATTGAGTCAAAAGTGGTTGTGGGAAAATCAGAACTGTCCCCAAAGGTAAGGTGTTGCAGACCGTGTAAGACTAGTCAGAGGTTCGAGGCCCTCTAGGGCTGAGTGTAACAAATGAGGC